ATTTCACAATAATGCAACCAAGGTAGTGATATTTTATTATAGGTGCTCAGTGGACCCCTATCCACTTGTCCTTCAGTTCTAGGGGACTTGGTTTTTTTCTTTGATGACTTTTACCGTCATTCTCTCATTCTCTCTGTTCTTACTTCTAGAAAATTTAAATATTGGACCTCCTGAATGAATACATATCATATTTTTCGTTTAAATTTCCGAAGTATCTGTTTTGCTTGGTTTTGTTTTTCTCGGTCTACATTCAGGCACATGTTCCTTGACTTTGCTTTCTACTGAATTTTTCTTCTATTTCACCAATTACATTATTTTACTGTTAGATCAGATTGGATCTCAAGGGTGTCTTTTTCCAGTTACTGCCGCAGTCATAATTCTCACTCTTGGTTGCTGTTTTATAAATCTCAGTACATGAATTAATTTGCCTCTTGCATTACTGTAATTTGTTTCATGTCAGGGACCATTTATTCTGATGGCTCAGCTTGACTACCCGCTTTTGAGGTGTCGATTTGCCCATTTGTTTCATGACTTTTCTTTTATTGTCTGTTTATGTGTTTTTCCTGGCCCTTCAAATTTTAGGAAGATAACCAATTTTTCACATAGGTATATGGGCTTAAGTTTTTTACTTGTTGGCCAGTAGTCACTGCCACTCTAAATCAGGTCCACTTTTTAAAGAAAAAACACTTGCAGGCATCCCCTAGAATTATAGGTGTCCAGCTGGAATGTCTGCTGGGTACAAGGTGTCATGATGTCTTCTATCTGGTATGCCAGGGATGTTGCTACAATGCATCATGTCTTATGGCTAGGGCTAATAGCCACTAGAAGAGGTTTTTGACAAACAGGCGTGATTACAGGACATCCTGTGCCACACCTTCCCTGGGAAGAATACACTCTATGTCAGCTCTGAGTATAGCTTTATGCATAGTCACCCCCAAAGCGGCAATACTTCTAGGGATTCGGATCAGAACTGGTTTGCCATTTGCCTCTTTTCATCCCTGAGTGACTATCTGGTTATTACCTTGACTTTTGGAAAAAAGAACTAATTATGCAATTCACATTCTTTAGAAAAATTACCTCATGATTATTTTTCATGTCATATATTTTTCAATTTTTAAAATGAGATATACCATAAATGACAATAATATATCTAACGAACACATATAAAAATTAATAATAAAACAAATGGTCATGTACCTACTACCTAACTGAAGAAATAACATCTTATGATTCTAAGCTGATGTTCCCTCTCCAACTTTGGAGGTCATGGGTCAGAGGTGGGAAGTATGGCCTTAGTGATGCTGAAGTAGCTTTGTAGCACCTGTTTCTGAAAAAAACAAGAGAAAGGTACAAATATACTATCTAGAAGGCATACTCAGCTATTTGTAAACAGTAGTACAGACGATTATGCTTGGCGTCTGGTGTGGCTGTGTAGGTCATCAATGGTGTTTCCTGCAGGCATTTCTCCCTGGGGTACTGCTAACTCACACAACACCTTTGTGTAAATCAGAAAAAAAGCCACTCCTGCTATTTGCCGTAATTTAAAAAATAACAACATGCACAAAAATCTATAATGACTATGAGTGTAACTGGTGCCTCCTAGGGCTTACAGGCCACAATCCACACAACAATAATTCAAGGTAGACATAGCAGATGGTACAGGGCTCCTCAGGTGGGCTTTATCACTTGCTGAATGCCTACTATGTGCCAGGAACTCTTTTAGATTCTTGGCACTCAGTGTTGAGATGGACAAGATCTCTGCTCTTCTGGATCCCCCATGACTGGATTTCTGAGCAGGCTGTTTTGTGAGTGCCAGAGCTGTAGACAACTAACAAGCTGTAATTGTTCTTGAACTGGGTCAGAGGTCCTGTGGTTACTAGTTAAAAGTGAGACAGAACTTCATTTTACTCAATATGCTATCTATGCCAATTGAAACCTGAGAGGTCATGTTGTGCTAAGCTGATGAGTTCAGAGGTCACATGGGGTTCTTACATTTATGATGACCCTATGTCCCAATTTTCCCTGGACTATCCTAAGCATCTTATCCCCATGTAATTATTAATATAACCCTTTGTCTCTCCTAGCCGTGTCCCAGCTTTGGACAGTAAATTATATGATCACATAAATTAGCTTTTGTTGTTGTTGTTGTGGCAACACCCCTTTAAAATCCTGTTACTTAATACACTAAATATTTAGGTTTTGCTAATGGATCTGTGAGTCGGCTGTAGCTTTGCCCCAGGCTGTCAGTCATGTTTTAGTTTTCTCCTTGTTTTGCACTTTGGGCTAATGCCACAAGTCTTCTCATTATGGCAGTCAGGCTGGATGATCAGCGCTTATCTGAGAGCTCTTCTCATGCAGAAGGTGGGAGCACAAGGGACCTCTGCTTCAAGGTGGCATGGGCCATGTTCACTCGTATTTCATTGACCAGAGTGTCATACAGCCAAGACCAACGTTGGGGATTGGGATTTATGCTTCTCCCTTGGAGAGGAGCCCTGTGATAGGACACAGTGACTATTTGGTGAGTAATAATACAGTTATCTCATCACATTCCTAAATGCTATGTCCTCCCAATGTGCCCCTCCTCCACCCTTTGCTGATGGTCTCTTAGCAGTGTCTATCTCAGGACAGAGTTGAAGTGATTAACAGAATGTACAGAAGTTTTGTCTCCATTTAGATTACAGAATGTATTAAGAGATTTCACTGCTATGTAGAGCCTGTTTTGTGTTGGAGAAGGTGGGGATCGATGTTTGCAGCCTGATTACCTGGGACAGGGTTTCCTCCTTCCTGGTCCCCCAGCACTACCACCCATCATAGAGGTCTGCACCAGCATGTTCTCTACTCTCCTGTGTGAGTGGTCAGAACCAGGTGGAGTCCGGGGTCAAACCATGCCCCCCCGCCTCACGTTAGGCTCTGTGAGGTATACTACCTAGCCCCTTTTACTTTGTCCCCACTGACTGCACTCTCTGTTCCCCATCCCTGCCTGTTGCTCTGCACCTGGGATTTTAAATTTCTCTCAGTTTCCCTTCATTTGCCTGTATTAAATGTTCCCACTGATGGGCTTTTCTTTTAAAACAATTCCAGACATTCCTCAAAGTTACTGGTTAACTGATGAATTGGTGATGCTCTTTTTTATTTTCTATTGCTTATCCCATTTCCATGGGATTTGAGGAGATAAAAGTGAAAAAGATTGGCACAGTTACCCATATTGAAACTTTAACCCCAGTATTTTCAAACAGAGATATAATATTGTTTCACTAAAAGGGTGAATATTGATTGGGAGGCATAGAGGAAATATGTTAAATCCATCACCAGCCCTGGCAGCTGGGTTTCTTTTAAGAGGAGTTTTTGATAAACAGTTTTATCAGTTCACAAGAATGACCAAGTGCTGTCAGTGTCATGTTGAAAAGCACAGGGATGGTGGTTGTTCAGCTTGACTCAGTAGGTAAGTGACTTGCAGGAGGGGTTCCCATGCATGCTGCAGCAAAAATACAACTTTGTCACAGACCATGGTATGTTGGCAGTGCTGTGCATAGTTGAAATTGTGAGTACCAAATAACTCATTTCTAATTTTCTCCTTCATTAGAATATGAATCTGTGAAGACATGGTGTGCGCCTATCATGTTCCTCATTGTATCTCCAGAGCTTAGCATAACACTTGGCATGTAGTGGGCATTCAGAAAACTTTGGTTGAAGCAATGCAAATATTAATGATGGGCAGTAAAGGCAAATCCTGGGGAGAATCCTTGGGGATCCTGAGTGTAATGAAGCACAGTAATAACAGGAAGGGTGGTTCTTTAAAATAAAGATTTTACAGCCACCATAGTGCCAGAAATGCCTTCAGATTGATGCTTAGCCTCCCTGGCTCTACTGTAGCCTGGGGCAGAAGCCTGGAGTGGGTGAGCTGTTTTGAACCTTAGGGGCATAATCACTGGATATTGTACTGCCAAGACTTGCTGAACCCATGGGGCTGTGGTCCATGATCCATGTAGCAGATGCTGCGATTACCTGCCATATCCCCTTACCACTTCAGTGTGTGCCTGTTGACCTCCAATGCAGCCTCTGCATTGATTTCAATGTGGGATGTTCCTGACCACTGGAGCCTACTTTGTTCATCTGGGCTGCAGGTTTCAAATGATGGGAATTTAATGCCCTTTGGGAAATGCCCTCAAATTAACAACTAAAGAGAGCAAATGTGTAATACCTTGGATCCCTTGCCACTTGGGTAGAGTATATCTGAGGTGTATTAGGCCTCTCCAGCAGGCTTAATCTTTACTCCCCTACTGTAGGAACTGGCTTGATAATGTACCTTTTACTGGCTTCCCTTTCTCCCTCTAAATAATGCTTTGCCCTTGAATAATTGTTTTAGGGTATGCTGCTGGGGAAACCCAAACTACAGTATTGTGTCCTGGGTCCTGAGGATCTGCCACTGAGTGGTGGTTGTTCTTGTAGCTGCAAAATCCACAGAAGACTTGAGCTTCATTTTGCTTAGAACCTTAAAAGTTAATAGGAAAAGTAGAACCAAAAAAAAAGCACTCTGATTTCTTTTAATTTAAGAAGTTGTGACTTACACAATTCCTCAATTATATTATACAGCTCTCTGAAATGACCGAGTAATTTTTAAGGACATTTGAAACTGCCCCGCTCAAAAGACATTAATGATTGGTGCTGCCTGTGGGATAGAGTCTTATTTGACTTGAAGGGCGTTCTAGTCCCCATGAATATATTCATTTTCTTGCCATAGCAGGCTGTTTATGGTTTCTAAACATGGCCTGCATGCCATGTTACCTCTTGTGTGTTTTTGCTCACGGGTCCTATGGTTTGTGTATGAATTCTCATTGTCACTGCCCCAGAACCAAGTAACCCAGCTGTGCGCCCCAGCGTGGGCTTCCATAGTCAGCTCCCAAGGGATGAATGGATGAGAGGGTCATTCTGCCCACCCTATGCAATGCTTGGCATGGAGGGAATGATAACACTGACCTTTGATCTTTGCTTCTTTGCAGACATCTCAGTGAGCCTGCTGACCCTTGTGGTCACTGCCTGTGGTCTTGCTCTCTTTGGCGTGTCTCTCTTCGTGTCTTGGAAACTCTGCTGGGTTCCGTGGCGAGAACGAGGCCTGCCTTCTGGTAGCAAAGACAACAACCAGGAGCCTCTTAACTACACGGACACAGAGACCAATGAGCAGGAGAACAGCGAGGACTTCCTAGACCCTCCCACGCCCTGCCCTGACTCCTCCATGAAGATCAGCCACACTTCCCCTGACATTCCCCTCTCCACCCAGACAGGGGTTCAGGAGAACTGTGCCCATGGCATCCGCGTGCAGCGCCAAGTCACAGAGCCAACCTCGTCGGTTCGGTTAGTAATGCCTCTTCGTTTCTGAATGCAAGCAAGAACCGCCCATTCCCTTCTCTGGCAACAATAGCACTGATTGGTCAAGGAGCCTATAACCTTTTAGATTTCCCTTCTGTATCAGAGACATGAATATGGGGAAATCCCATGCTTCCTATGCTGAAGTTAGGTTCCTGAGCCCTTCTTGGTCTTTACTTAGTTCATAAAAATAATAGTTAAAATATTAAGACTTAGCATGTGTGAAGTACTCTATAAGAACTTTATATTCATATTTTATTATAGCTCCCAACTTAGCATGAGATATATGCTATTATTTTTATTTTACAGTTGAAGAAACAAGTCAAGGAGATTAAATTTTTTAAAAAGTCATATATGTAAACACCCAGGTCAGGGTTGGAACCCTGGTTCAACCAACACAAGAATCTGAGTTCTTAACCACTCTTCCCTGCTGCCCTCCTACTGCTGTAGAATGTATTCCCTGTGCATCTCGCCTATCCTAACAGTCACGCACAGGCTCTCTTCAGGCTCCGCCGTGTGGCTGGAGGTCTTTGTCCACCTCTAGCCTTTGGGAGGGTCACAGAGTAACCAGGCCTGGATCACTCTCTTTTCATTGTCTGGATACTTTCTGCTCTTCAACAGTAGAGAAATAATATAATGCAGTGATAAAAGGTGCAGTCTCTCAAGTCAAATGAATTGCCTTTACTTACAGGTATAAAATTGAACAAATTATTTAAAACTCCATATGTGTCCATTTCCTCTTCCTCAAAAGAGGAATAGATAGTACTGATTTGTAGGTGGTTTTAAGACTGAAATGATAACATGTGCTGCACAGTTCTGGCACCTAGTAAATACTCCAAAATGCGAGCTGCCATTTTGCTGTTAGTATTGCCATTATGGCCTCTCCCAAGGCTCGGACGTTGCACAAAATTGTGTTTGAGGCTAAACAGACAGTTCTAAATCACTGGATATAAAAACTCATTTTTCAATAAGAGATTTTTGGAAAAGAGACTCAGGAAGCAGCTCTCTTTAGAATGAAAATATTGTCCTGAGTGATGGCCAGAGGAATAGCATGTGCTGTTATTTGGAAAGTATAAGCACAGTTTGGAGGTATTTTTTAGAAATCTTTATTGTTTGTTCTCCAGAAACAGAAATAAGACTTTACCCTTTTCATGTTAATTGAGTTTATCCTAGAGGCTCCACTCATTCTCATTAAGTGGTATGGAATATGCCAGTTTATAATTTGATTGTTTTAGAAACTTATTTTTGCATCATTTCCAATTCTGAATCAAAGAGGCAAATCTAAAATATTCCTCTGTGAGGAGATGGGTAGTTGTTTGCCATTTGATTTAGAAGAAATCCTCAGATTTTATCACTAGGATTTATCTTCAGATTTAAGACTTAAATATAACTAGAGCTCTGTTTGATGCTGTCATAAAGCTCATGCAATGTGCAGACTCATAATCAAATCCTTTCAGTATTTCAATAACTAGAGCCTTTTAGATGGAGTCTCCATTGAAATTTCCATCGAAATTGTCTCCTATTTCGTTCTACTCTGCATGTAACTTTTCTGGTCTAGATTCCTCCAATATATAGTGGTAGTACGTACTGTGATCTTTTTAGATTTGATCTGAAAGCTCTGCTGTAATTCTAACAAACTGATAGTAATGATGTCACTATAATTATCACAATATTTATACTGGAAAAGTATATCAATACTCTGCATATTAGTACGTATTTGCTTAAAAATAAAAACTGTTATCATCACTACTGATTTGTAGAAATTGGTTAGAAGGAAAAAAACAAAGAGGTAGAGTGAAGGAATTATCCCTGTAAAATGCACTCTGTGTTCAAATTTATTTTAGTTTGGGAGGCATGCAATTACATTATCTTTTCTGATGGCAAAAATCGGGTTTAGCAATATCTGAACTACCATAAGAAAACTACTCTTTCTAGCTGCATCCGACCTACTACTGACAATTTTCATTGTTATGCATTTAAAACATTCATACCTAAATTGCTACTGACCTAGTTTTATGGGGTCTGTCTAGAAATACATATCCTTTTCTCAGGATCTCACCACAATAAGAGCAGTGCATGGTTCTTCTAATTCTTTGGGAATTGGGTTGCATCATGAGCAAATGCACACACATATACATACTTTTTGCTAACAAAATGGAAAAAAAGAATGAGATTTCCTTTATGCCTCAAAGCATTTTTAACATTCTTCTTTAAGTAACATTTTTGATAACCATATTTAGGGAGGGGAAAGATAACCTTTGCTGAGACAGCTCTAAACAGTCTGCTTTTCCAGTTACTGCTTCTTCTCTTTTCTTTGTCATTATGTTCTTTACTTTCTCCCTGCCGACACTGTCTTCCTTACTGCTTCCATCCTGCAGCTGTTATCCCCATTTCAGGGCAACCATTATCTCAGGGTTCCCAGTGCACCTAAGACATAGCCTCCATTTAAAGATGTCTTCAGGATCCTTGCGATTGGTACAGTTTCTGTTGCAGCATTTACATCAAAAATCTCAACCTCACCTGGCCTCTTCAGCTTGGTTTTGTTCTTGGATATGTTTGGCTGACACGGTGCTTTTTTGGAATGTCTTAAAGATGGGCTTTGTTTTATCTTCTAAAAACGTTTCTGGTCAGAATGACTTTCTGTTGTTCTTTCAAGATCAAGCATGTTAGGATTCTGTATCTAGTTACCTCAGTGACTATTAGTATCATCCAAAATTCCTGTTAATTCTTTTTGATTTGAATGAAATCCCTTTTGTACAGTGACCCAATATGCTGGAAATGTGGATGTTTTAATTTTCTCAGAATTTTTTAATACTAGAGCTTTACAAAGTACTCTACTCCAAATGTATGAAAATCCCTGGATCCCCAAAATAGAAGGAACCTTGAAAGGCCATCTAATCCATTTCCTGATTCATGTCCTAAGATGAAAGTTCATCCTGTTTTTTTAAGTCTTCTCAAATTTCTTATGTAACACTTCGGTTTTTCAAAAATTTCAATTACCACACCACAAACTCCTTATCAAGTCTATTAAGGCCCTGCATGATAATACTGCACAGTCTGCTTCCAGCCTTACCTATGGCCAGGGCCACTGTGTTGCAGAACCAGTGACACTTTTAACATGATTTCAATTGGAGACTGCATGGAAGAAGCTCGTTATACTGTAGCTACACTAGCCTCTCTCTTAGTTCCTTCAGCTTCCCAAGCCCCTTCCTACCTTGAGGTCTTCACACATGTTGTTGCCTCAGCCAGAAATGGTTTTCCTTTTTTTTTTTTCTTTTACCCTTCTCAGGTCCTTTACTTCCCTAACGCCTTAGGTGAAACATCACCTTCTCAGAAAGGCCTCCCTGGCCACCCTATCTGAAGGCTATGTTCTGTTCCCCATTCCTTCCCACTTGTAATTCTCTCTTGCATTGCCTTGCTTTCACTCCTTCACAGGGTTAAATTGTTATTATTATTATCATTTTTCAGAAGGAGTTTAGCTCTTGTCACCCAGGCTGGAGTGCAGTGGTGCAATCTCGGCTCACTGCAACCTCCACCTCCTGGGTTCAAGTGATTCTCCTGCCTCAGCCTCCCAAGCAGCTGGGATTACAGGCATGTGCCACCATGCCTGGCTAATTTTTGTATTTTTTAGTAGAGATGAGGTTTCACCATGTTGGCCAGGCTGGTCTCAAACTCCTGACCTCATGATCTGCCCGCCTCAGCCTCTGAAAGTGCTGGGATTATAGGCATGAGCCACTGCACCCAGGATTAAATTATTTTAAGTGATTATTTATTGCTTGTACTCCGCTCTAGACTGAGCTCTGTGAGCCCAGAGACCACAAGTGTTTTGTTTCTTTTTATCTATCCAGCCCCTAGCAACCCTTGGCACATGGAGAACTTCTTTCGATGAATGACTGACAGAATATGTTGGTGAATATCAGGCCACTTTTCTCTTGCTCATCTGACAAGAATGGCAAAGGGCCAGAAGTATAACTGAGTGGAGCCTGTAATGGTGAGGCTGGTAGTAGGCCATTTGTCCCAGGTCTCACGTTCATTAAGAGCCCCACGTTAGGTGTTTGACCCTATCTCTGAATTAAGCAACTCGATAGAGTTATAGAAATATGCTGACAGAATTGAAAGAGGAAGATAACCATCACACTCTAAATTTAGGTCCCATGACTGGCCACAATTCCAGTAAATAGTACACAAAACTTAAACGTTGTAATTATGCTATGAGTAGCACATTTCTATTAAGTTATATTTTTGTGTGGTGAGAACATTGGTTCAATGTAAATATCTAAAACATAACTCTTGAATCATGGTTATTTCTTCATATTTAAATAAGCTAACTACTTCAAAAGTGGAAGTTGCCTAGACCTATCTCAACTTCCATGAGACCCTGAAACGATATGTAATTGAGTGTTTTCTCTACGGGGATTAAAATTATGAGAAATTATTTTATTCATAGCATTTCTGTATTTACTGTAGACACAGATATTAAGCATTTACTATGTGCAAAATTTAGTATTCGGTGGTGGCAATGAAGAGAGAAAAAATTTATAATCCTGCCCTCAAAAGACCCACAGCAAGAGCCCAATTATACACACAATTTGTTCTTTAGAAGATTAATCTGGAAAGAATATATAAGATGCATGGGACAGTGATAAAGACAGGGGCCTGTCAGAGGGCCTGAACTCAGCTGGGATCAATGGGAATGAAAAGAGTTATATGACGTTAGCTACTGTAGAGAAAGTTTTGGTGAACAAAGTCTCATCTTGGTTATAGAGGATAAAATATTCAAGGTTTCAAATCTGTTTAAATTGGGAGGGAGTGGGAGGAAGCAAGTCTTGCCTCAGTGTATCCACCTATACTTGACCACACACATCCACTGGCCCCAAGGCCTAATGCCTGTATCTTCATTATCTCACTTATGCTGGAAGCCCTTGAATCTTCAGGCCAAGAAAGCCTCAGATTTCCACTTCCTCCTGCCCTTGTAGTCTACTAACTGTGTCTGTCCCTATCCAGGATTTCCCCTTCTTCTGTGTCTGCCTGTGGTTCAGGACAGACCAACTCTCTCTTCATGATGAAGGGGATTTTTGAAAAAGAAAAACAAGATCCTTTCTCCACTGTTTCCGTAATTCCCTGCCTTGACTTGAACATAGGAAAGAAACCAGTAACATTTCTGAAACAACAATTCGCTTCTATATTTTCTCTCCTTCGATCCTGAAGCCTGGCAAACACTGGTATCCAAGAACCAGGGAAAGGACAGGTCAGATTTCACCTCTGAGATGGGCCACTACAGTGAAGGAATATACATTAGGGTGCACTTGTTCATGACTGCACATGAAAGCCCGAGATGGATGGGGTGTTGGGGATCTGAGTGCTGGCTTGTACAGTCTGGACTCAAAGATGCAGTGTATGTGGGGGACTCTGAAAAAGCTACTGGGGCAGAAGAGCTGCAAGTCCCACCCTGCTAGAGAGCTGGGACAAAGATGAAAATGGAGTTAATGTCTGTATTGAAGTCTACAGCATCAGCTTGGAGGTGGCTAAGGATGCAACCAAGTTAAGTAGGCAAGCCCACCTCAGGTATCATCTCCTTCATAAAAATTTCCTCAGCCAGAGGCCTTTCTCCCTCTTCTTCTAGGACTTTCTAATCCCTGATCTGTACTTAATCCTTCTGCCCCACTTTATAGTTATGGGGTTGGGGGGGACCATCTTATTGCCTGCCTGGACAGCTGTTTCCTTCAAGATAGTGACTACATTTTTCTCTTCTGTACCTTCCACCTTATTTGACACTTTGCTTTGCAAATTCGAATTTGTTGAATTGCCGTTACGTCCTGTCTCCTAAGATCTGATTGACACAGTTGGCTTTTTGGGTGATAGTTTAGGGACTAACTAACCTAGAGCTGGGACTGGTTAATTCACATTTAAGGAAAGGAAAGGAGGACAAAGCCCTGTACCTCTGGGCTTCTGACCCTTCCTGACCTCTGGCTGCAACTCAGCACAAGGCTCAGATTTCTCCAGGTATGAAAGTATCTTTTTGAGTTTCTTATGGGAAATCTACTTTGCACATTTTGTTAATTATCTTTGAACTCAAGCTTTCCACAGCTTCAACTGCAATTTTCCAACTTAGGTTAGGGTGGCCAAGTTGAATCTTTAGTTTCTCTTTGTTGTCTCTTCCATGAGAGGAAAACATCCTTTGCCCACCCAGGGAGAGAAGGGGAGGTGGAGGAAACTGAGAGTTCCAACCCCAGCAGCCAGCTTCTCTGCAGCAGCATTAGAATGTGACTTACTTGTAGAGGAGATCATCTCTCAACCTTCCTTCTGACCCACTGTCCTTGGGGTCCACGTTTTTTTACCATTCATTGTGCACATTAAGTTCTGAGAACACCAAAATACAGGACTCCCCAGACCTACTCAGAGGACTGAGTGCTTCAGACACGGATCTCTCTTTGCCACGTTCCTACGTCCCTCAATGTCATTATTCATGTCACTCAGTGGCATTAAAATTCTAGACCTTTGCTCTGGGAGCCTCTCATTTACTGCATTCAAAACCACCTCCATTGACCACCTAGAGCCACCTCACCTGGGATGAGGCAAGTTCAGGTCATGGCGCTATATTCCATATCTTTCCTCCCTCTTGCTTTGGGCTTGCTTTTTCTTTGCACCTCTGTTTGTGTAGCCTATGAGAGCTATAGAATATTGATTTTCCATTTCCTCTACCTCCTCTTCTCCTTTATGTCCCTGGGGCAGTTGCCCCGCTCTACTTTCTCATTTTCAGCTCCCATAGCTCCAGAGGTTATACGGGGAGGTTATGAGTTACCCTGGTTCTCTGGCTGTTCTAAGCTTCACTATTCTACCATGCCTCTCCCCCAACTCCGGTAAACTCTAACCTCTTCTGAATGTAAATTGAAAGAGATTGAAAGGGAACCCCATGAGTGAGAACCTGTCATGCCCTGTTACAGTCTTTGCTATCTGCTTTAAGCCACTACCTTACAGTTAGATTCAACTGATTTCCTAATAGTAGGTGTGATTCTGAATAGAGGGGAAAGTGTTGGGAATGAAATTAATCATGTAAAATGTTTGAGTAGATAATAGTATTCATATCTGTAATTTTGTTCGTTTGTTTGTTTTCTGGTTTTGGGTTTTTTTGTTGTTTTTTTTTTTAGACGGCCTCTGTCACCCAGACTGGAGTGTAGCAGCGTTATCTCCTCACCACAACCTCTGCCACCTGCGTCAGCCTCCCAACTAGCTGGGACTACGGGCACATGCCCCTATGCCTGGCTAATTTTTGTACCTTTAGTAGAGACAGGGTTTTACCGTGTTGACCATGCTGGTCTCGAACTCCTGACCTCAAGTGATCCACCAGCCTCAGCCTCCCAAAGTGTTGGGATTGCAGACATGAGCCATTGCACCTAGCCCATAACTGTGATTGGTTTTTAAGAGGAATCTTTAGCTGTATTGGGAGTTTTTGAAGGGATTCCTTTGCAGTTGGGTTCTCGGGGAATGAGATCTTTTTTCAGGCTTTGAACTACACCAACAAGCCCCACTCCGTGCTGGCAATCCACTTTGGTTAGGAAGAGTTGAGCATGCAGGACAATTTCTCTTCAGATTTCATGTCTAAGAAAATATACATGTAAAACAGAATATGTCACACTACTAAATAGCCAAATCTATGTAATTTTAATTAAAATTAAAACTATGGTAGATTAAGTCCTACAAACAGGGTGAAGACAAAATGTTGCTATGCTGAATCTAGTGCCAGTACTAAGAAAATTCAAAGGTAAATTGTAATGCACTGAGTCTGCCCAGCAACCACCTGGGGAGCATAGTGACAGGGCCTAGGGCTGACACGAGATTGTTATCTGGGGCTGGATTGTGCAGACACAGAATTGTTGGTCCACCACAGGCTCGTCTGAAGAAGGACCATCCAGTGGATCTTAAGGGTGCACTTTTATCATGTAAACAGCACCACTTACTAGACAGCACCCAGAAAGATAGGAACTGACCCAGGACATAATTATGGACGTTTTTTGAATCTAGCCTGTAAAGAAAAATCAATAGCAGAGGGAGACAGGGCTGGCACCAGCCTGTTCTGGCCTCTGCATACAGCAGGGTACTTCTCTGCTGCCTCTCAACCCTTTCTACTCACAGAGTCCAGTAAAGTGAGACTGAAGCTCTGTTCTAGCACTACATTGGTTCCACTTCTGGACAAGGGAATGACCTGGCTGCCCTAGCACATAAAGCCAGTTTTAGATGCTTAACAGCAAGTCCTCCCTTTCCTCCCCTGCTCAACCAAATCATAAAATACAGAGACACCTTAAGATTGTGGATTTCTGTATAAGAGAGTAAAATCTCACAACAGCAACTTTCAGTCCACACAGTTTTTGCACATGTGGGAATGTATGTGACTGGGCTGTGTCTGCTTTCTATGGACTGTGTTGGATGTGACAGGTACAAGTGACAGCTCTGTGACAATGCTCTTGTCATACCATGTGGGTGATTAGTGATGAGGAGGCTATTTTAAGATAAAGAGGAATGCTCAGCATAACATCCATGATGACAAGGGAGAATACTTTCCAACATGTCTGGGGATCCCTTAATTCCATTTTTACATCTTTATTTCATTGTCTTAAGAAAGAAAGAGAAGGCAAATTCAAATATTTACTCTGCCTCTCCAACTGTTTACCAATCCCTAAGAGACATCCCAGCTGTTCTCTTTCACCTTCTAGTAAAGAGGCTATTTTAATTAAGGTTATTGAGCAAATGCATGCAATACAATATAATGACTCTAAACTCTGAGCTAAAAACAAACAAAAGTAACCTTAAAAACAACCTTGTATGTAATGACTACTTCACTCAATTTGTGAAGACATACACAGATCAGACAGACTTTAAGGAGAATTTTAGAGAAACTTCTAATCCAAATCAATAAACTTATAGGGTAAAGAGTATACTATGTTAGCAAATATTTAATTTGCAAATATCAGTATCCAACCATCTTCCAGCTGAATCCCTACATACATTTATAGTAGCTCATCTTTCATTTTTGTGCCATTAGTATTTATTTCAGAAATGAAACCTGTCCTCTTGATCACTGATCACCCATGTGCACAGCAAAAGCACAGTCCCAATGCTGTCACTTGCCCCTGTCAGAGCCACCACAAGCCACTACATGCAGGCACATCCCAGTCACATACATTTTTGCATGAGCAGAAACCGTGTTTTTGTGTTGAAATGATTTTATTTGAACCAGTAAGAATTTATATCCTAAAAAAAACAATTTATATCCTTACAAAGCTATAAACTAGTGGCAAGAAATTCTGTGTAATTTAGAGAAAGATTCATTCTTCTTAAGGCAACACTTGGCTATTTCAATCAGAATGATATTATATATAAAGTTGAATAATTTTATTTTTAAAGCAGTTTGTACAAATCTTTATATTCCACCAGATGAATAAGCTTCTTTAATGGCATATTAGACAGTTTAGAAAGTGTATTAAACCTTTAAAGCTCTGAGGTCGCATGTTACTAGGTTCATTTCCTGATACCAAGTCTCAGTTTTGAGCTTCAAGCCTTAGGGAGCAGCTTAATCACACTGATGAGCATTTTGAATTTAGGCCACAGACACACACACAAAAAGGCCCACAGATCTAAGCTCCTGACAGAATGTAACAGTCTACCTACATCCCAAGCAAAAGTTTCTGAGAGACCCATAGCTAATAAGTTTATAACTTTGTTCTGTGTTGCTCTTCATTCAAGGCATAATTCATTCCGAAGACAACTCAACTTGTCAAACCCAGACTTCAATATCCAGCAGCTTCAAAAACAGGAACAGTTGACTGGAATTGGTAGAATTAAACCAGAGTTATATAAACAGAGGTCCTTGGATAATGATGATGGGAGACGGAGTAACAGCAAGGCGTGTGGGAAACTGAACTTCATTTTAAAATATGACTGTGACTTAGAGCAGCTCATAGTGAAGATTCACAAAGCTGTCAATTTGCCCGCCAAGGACTTTTCTGGAACTTCAGATCCTTATGTGAAGATCTATTTGCTTCCTGATCGGAAAACAAAACACCAGACTAAAGTTCACAGAAAGACCCTGAACCCTGTGTTTGATGAAGTGTTTTTATTTCCAGTTCCCTACAATGACCTTGAAGCACGGAAGCTTCACTTCTCTGTGTACGACTTTGACAGGTTCTCTCGTCATGACTTAATTGGCCAAGTGGTGGTGGATCATTTCTTAGACTTGGCTGATTTCCCCAGGGAGTGCATCCTTTGGAAGGATATCGAATATGTCACCAATGTGAGTCCAGCATTTCTTCATTTTGATGGGGGGTGGGCATCTTGGTTAGCAGGGAAACAGATTACTTACATATTATCTTGAGGACAAAGTGTAAAATTTGTGTCAATGTACATGTAACTGTTATTTCAGAACCTCCTTGTACCTTTTCAGAAACAGTGTTTTAACAATATTGATTTTGAACTTCCCACGTATTGTTCATGAAAACATTAAAGAATAATATTCTCTCTTTTCTACTTTCAGATTCTTAGCTAGTCCCTAGTAGGCAGCAGATGTTCTCTGTCTTCCTTACCACAATTTCTTTAGAACTTTTTCAGGTTGCTTGTGCTAAATGGAACCTGCCATTCTATTAACTGTAGTCTGAGCTAAGAGACCATTACCTGACTCTGAGAGCAGTAGGTACTTACCTATGTTCTCAGGTTGGCTCAAGAGCATTTCCCATAATTGGATCCTCAACTTCAGTCCTACAGGTGGGAGTGGTTGAGAAGAGTTGGTACCACATTTTTAAATGTAAAACTCACAAAATTCAAGTTACAAGGAGGGAAGTCTGAAAAGAAACTATAGATAATGACAAAACTAATCTATCGACAGTCACATCCAATTTAGGGCTCAGGAGAGAAGTCAAAGTGCTGTGTAGTAGTACCATATATCTATGTCTACATTTTAAACATAAGATTTCAGAGGTGATATTTCTATTCCATTTACATCCTTTTCATTATCCCACAGAGATGTATTGACATTCCAGAAATAGAAAGGAAAATTGAATATTCTTAGGTAACTCTGATATTTTAAAGCCACTTGTTTCTTTCACCTGTCCAAATTCCCTGTGATAACTTTGTTAGCTTCTCTTCTTGGATATGAGCTATTCTGAGGCCAGCCTAGCTCTCTTTCTCTGCCATGGCATCCAAACGGACCAAGCACCACTGTCCTTATTCAGCTCAGACATGGATTCAGCTTGAGTCTGGAGCCTATTTCTTGAAAGACTAATCTCTGCCTAATGACCAAATACCTACACCAGTACCCCCTTATCCTCAGCCACTTTAATGAACTAGGGGCTCACCCATACTTTGGTTGCCCTGTGTGACACCTTCTCTCCACATGCCACAAGGTTCCAGTGCCAACTTTGTTCTGCTATCCAAATAAACAGAGTGTAGCATGGGATTCTGCTGGCCTTTATCATAATCATGAGGAAAGAAAGAAAGGAGCTGCAACTGGATACGGTGCAAAGAATAGCAGTTGATGAAACCAAGGTGATTTGGAATACTGGGGAAGGAATAGATCTTAAAATATTATAATGCATGTAAACCCAACAATGGATGCTAGGGAAAGCAAGGATTGTCTCCCAAATCCCCCCATTGACAGAATCAGGAAGCAACATGAGAAGGTTTAAAGAAACAAAATGGGAAGGCTGCTTGTACAAAGATATGAATGGCTCCCCTGTCACTGGAGTATTTACTAAGTCTCCCTGATTATGGGAGCTGAGACACTGCCAGCTGCAATGAGGTGCCTTGGACTTGTGTCTGATCTCAGGTATGGTAGAGAGGTTTTGGTCACACCATCTAATGAGACATTAATTAATTAATTTATTTTTTTGACAAATGGATCCTATAAAATAGCTGGAGATGTTATTAGGAAGTTCAATGAGGATCCTGTGGAGAGTTGCCTTCTGGAGACTTTGTGGTGAGAGCAACACTGATAACAACACTGTGGTGATACTGCACAGTGGCTGATAAAAATCTGGATGATGATCCTTGGTGGAAACGACTCCTAGGACAGGTTCCTGTGGACAAGAATATGGTGTGGCAGGTGGTAGAGACCTTCTGGCCCCTGAGGTCACTGTCATTTCAGCAGTCTCTTGGGAGTAAGGGTTTCTTTTCCATTGTTGGAAAATCCTGGATTTCCACAGGGTTAAGGAGAGTGTGAAATTATTTATCAAGGAGGAAAAAACCAGTAAAGCTACAGGCTTCAAATTTCTCAGTTGTTTCCTCAGGCAAACAATACATCTTCTGAGCATTAACCTAAGCCTTTGGCGGGCCACGGAGAGGGTAGGTCCCACCAACAGAATTTCAGGCTATTTTATAGTCTGCTGTATTTTTAAATTCCATTTTAAAAAGTGTTATTTGGGGCTGTTTTGACCATGGGTTTTGTTTTTTTATATATATACAGAGACTGAATATAAAGAACTGAGATTTGCCATGGCTCCCTTTTTATAATATAGAATGTATGTAATATAGTATGTGTAATAATATGATTTAATGAAAGAATAATTAAATGAACAGGCCTGAACCCATCATTTAGTTGAAGAGTAGAACATTACCAGTACTTTTGTTGACCCTTGAATTGTCTTCTGTCACATTCCCTCTCAGTCTAATCCTGCCAAGAAAAAACCTCTATCTTGAATTTTGCTTATATTGTGATATTTTAAAAAATGCATATATGTATATATATATATGACAATATGATTTTGGGTTTTGTCTGTTTTGGCTTTTATAGCTCTTTGACTAGTTTTTTTTTTCAGTCAACATTGATTATGGCATTTAATAATAGAAATAAGCAGAGCAGCTGTGGCTTATGTATCTTCATTGTTATATAATAATCCATTTTATTAATATTAATATATGACAAATTAGGATTCCTATATTGGTGACATTCAGGATGTCATTAGTTTTTCTGTGATTCTGAATAATATTGCAGAGATTTTTGTACACGTATTTTGGTTCACATATGCAATTATTTCTCTAGAGTGTATCCCTGATAGAGGTAAGTTACGCGTGTGTTCAACTTTTTTAGATAGTGACAAGGTCTTTTTCAGTCGTTTTCACATATCACAAATTGATCCTCCCACTGTTGAAATGGGACAATCCCTATTGTTCCACTTTCTCGTCAACTCTTGCAATTGCCACTGGTTAATGTATGTACATGTATGTAAAATGATATATTATTGGCATTTCTTCTGTTGCCCAGTTTTACCATCTTTTGATATGTTTATTGGCCATTTATGCTTTCTTTCTTGTGAAAATTCTTGTTCAGCACTTATTCTATTTTTTTTTTCCTTTTCTTTTTGATATACATAGGCTTTTTAAACAGTCTGGATGCAAATTCTTTGTTGGTTATGTTTTACAAACACCATTTCCCAGTTTATGGCTGTCTTTGTGTTCACTTTATGGTGTCTTTGATAAATAGAGGTTATGTTTAATGTAATAAAATGTATCAGTATTTTCCATTGTAAATTAGCAGATTTGTGTCTTACTTAAGAAGTACTTCCCTAACCTATGTCAGAAAGATATTTCTCCTATGCTTTCTATCAGAAGTTTTAAGGTTTTTTTTCCTCCTCAATTATGATTTTAATCCACTTAGAACAGAATTTTTTATGTAGTGTCATATAGGCATCATATAGCATTTAGCTTGGGCTGTCATAACAAAATACCATACACTGGACAGTTTAAACAATAGATATTTATTTCTTACAGCTCTGGAGCCTGGGATATCTAAGATCAGGTTTCAGCAGATTCCATTCCTGGTGAGGCTGTCTTCCTGACTCACCTTCTCACTGTCCCCTCAAGTGATGGAGAGAGGGAGAGCACTCTGGTCCTAGTCTCTCTTCCTCTTCTTATAAGAACACTAACCCTATGATGGGGGCCCTACCCTCAGAACCTCATGTAAACCTAATTGCCTCTCGAAGGCTCCATTCCCAAATACTGTCACAATCACACTGCGGATTAGAGCTTCAACATATAAATTGGGAGGGACAAAAACATTCAGTCCATAACATATCTATATTTATTTTTCTATATGGGTAAGAAAATTTCTGGCATATTTTCCCAATAATATGCACTGTATGCTCTTATATAGATTTCTGTATATGCAGAACCTGGATTCTCTTTTCTATCCACTGTGATGTTTATCCCTATTAATATCACAATTTGCAAAATATTATTGTTCTATGATAAGCCTTAACATCTGGAAGGGCAAATCATCTAGCCTACTTATTTTTTAGTTCAGCCTTGGCTAGTACTTGACTTTTCTCACACATTTTAGAATCACATTGCCAAGTTAAACATTACTTCTGGTATTTGGACGTGTATGAAGTCTACTGATTAATTTATGAAAATTTTGTATCTTTTGTGATATTGAGCCTTTCTGTACATGACCATAGTATATCTCTCCATTTACTTATTCATTTACTTATTTCTTCTTTAAAGTTTTTTCATTCAAAGCTTATGATTTTCTACATGAAGATCTTACATGTCTCTTGTTAGACTTATTGCTAGGTACATTACTTTTTGTTCTTTTAAATGGTATTTTTTCTTAAATTTCATTTTCCAACTATTGCTATATATAGTTATTTATATTAATACATCTTCTATTTGGCAATCTTGTAGAACTCATTAAGTCCTTTTTGTTTGTTTGTTTTTTGAGATGGAGTTTTGCTCTTGTCACCCAGGCTGGAGTGCAATGGCATGATCGCTGCTCACTGCAACCTCTGCCTCCCGGGTTCAAGTGATTCTCCTGCCTCAGCCTCCCAAGTAGCTGAGATTACAGGCACCCACTACCATGTCTGGCTAATTTCTGTATTTTTAGTGGAGACAGGGTTTCACCACTTTGGCCAGGCTGGTCTCAAACTCCTGACCTCAGTAGATCTGCCTGCCTTGGCCTCCCCAAGTGCTAGGATTACAGGTCTGAGCCACTGCGCCCAGCCTAGAACTTATTAATTCTTATAATTTGATTGTAGACTTTCCTAGATTTTCTTTGTAGATAATCAGTCATCTGTGAATTATGATAGTTTTCTTTGCTTCTTTCTAATCTGTGCACCCTTTGTCCTTTTTTGCTGCTATTTAATGCACAGACTAGGATTTCCAGTACGATGCTAAATAATAATTATGATAGTAGACATCTTTGACTTGTTTCTTACTTTAAATAGAATGTCTTTACATTTCCATAGAGTATGATTTTAGCTATATATGTTTCTTTTGATATCTTCAGCATATTAAGAATGTTTTACT